TAAGAATTTGAGTTCCATCTTAAAATGTCAACTTTGTTAGGAGGAGTAACACAATCCGTTATAAGTTGGTTTATGTATGTGGGATTCTATCCCTTAACAGTTCTCCCCTATCTATCCATCCGAATCCCTCCTCTTTTACCTGATTACTATATATTCCAGATTACATTATTGGAATCGGCAAACTTAACCTAGCCCCTACCGTAAGCTACCTCCCGTAAATTCACTTGAACGAAATATCCTCGATGTGAGATGTGTGGATTACTATGTAGGCATGGTTAAAGGTGCTTAAGAAGACCTTTTTTTTTTTTTGCTGACAGCGCTTAAGAAAGACATTTAATTTGTTTGCGGCAAAGCGATTTCTTAGTGAACGTTGTGGTGGTATTGAGAATGTTGTCATGTCCATTGTTAGTCAACCATGCTTCTTTTCGTTATGTTGTCCTTTGTGGGAGTTATCATTTCATGTTATGCATCTTATCGAAATATTTATTTGCTTGATTACTACCATGCAGGCTTGGAGTCAGTACTCGTGGGTACGAGGACACTGGAGTTGAGAAATTGAGAAGTTGGCTGTCTTCATTTTTTTGCAGCGCTTCTGATAAATTGAGCATTTCCGTTCAATTTGCAACAGTAAATGCTTTATTTGGTGTTATTCCTATCAAGTTCGAAGAACTTGTGGAAAATAAAGATGAAACTACAGCAATTTTAAGCCAATCCAATGCTGGCAATTGTGTTAGGATGTGGTTTTTCTCACTGAGTAGTGAGCAACAGTCGTCCTTCAGGCTTCAAGCTGCTAGTATGACCAATTGCAATACTGTGTCCCCTTCTAGGAAAGTGTGTTTTGATTCAACTTTGTAATCCAATGCTTAGACTTTCTGCAGTGTCTTTCTGTTACTCAAGAGAAGCAGAAAATTTTGTTGATGTAACCATTCTTCAGAAGAATGATGTTTTCACCTAGTACTACAAAGTGGTTGGTGGCAAGTCATTTTGTGGAAGAATAAAGCTACTCTGACAGGGATTGCATCCAGGGTTTGGAGACAACACTGACGTGGCGAGTTTTTATTCGCCTGTTTTTTGTTTAAAAAATCCATCTTCCAATGATTTGGTGACAAGTGTTGTTTGTCACCAAATCCTATCAATAATCCCTGTTACAGTAGCAAGATTGTTTGTGGAAACCTTAATTTAAGCTGTCAAAGATTATCCAAATCTGGTTTGGGGATATACATATATTTTTCTTTCGGCAGTTCATGAATATCTGAAAATAGTTTGATTTGTCCTTTTCTATCATTACTTCTTCTACTATAGTAAGCTGCACCAAGCTAGTATTGTGTCTAATATCTGAGCAATAGCCGAGTTCACATATTCTAGATTTTAAATGTATGTTCGAAAAATGTGAATTTGCAATTGATAAAATTCTCTTTCAAAAACGAAACTGGATTACATGGTCGCCAACCAGAAGCTCAACTGATGCAATTTGTCTCATTCTTTTTCTTGATTGTTCATTTGAGAACTTCCCTCCGTTATGTTTCAAAACTGCACCTTTTTGCGTGTTTCTATTTGGATAATGTCAGTGTTTTTCCTCGTGGCAATAGCCTATTCATCATTCCTTCAATATTTTTGTTATAAGCTAGTGTTTCGTATTGAAGCTGCTGTGGTACATGTTGTTGGGAATTTATTTAACTTCCACAGCGGAAAATTAATAATTTTTCAATTTCCACCACGGATCTGCTTTGTGTTTAGATAGAAACTGTTTTGAGAATAATACCTTTGATGAATTCTGCAAACTCTTTTGCTGATTCTCGAACTCCAATGATCACGATCTACAATCCATGCTGTCCAATTGTCCAGCCTCCAATGGTGATCCACACAGATAACAAGAATGACGATTAGGGTTTTATTTTTCTTGTACTAGCAAGAATAATGAAAATTCCATACAGTTTATAAACCCTAACAGCCTATTAATATAAGCCCAAGTGGGCTGTCCCATCTCTCAACTTAACCCGGTCCGATATTTAATTAATAAAATAAAGTCCATGAATTAATTAATCCAATTAATTAATTCGGGCATATTAATAAGCAACTCAATTAATTGATTGTCCAACACTTGTCAATTAATTAATTGGTAAATTTCATTCTTCTAGTTTTCTTTTGTGTATGATCCATTAGATTCCCGATCAAGATGTTTAACGACGTGAATTATTATTTTAATCTAATCAAAATCGATAAATTAAAACACTTCTTTTAATTTATCACTAATTCACATCGTCGTCCCAGATTGATATCTAACAATGTGTCAGGACAATACATGTAATGAGAAATGTCACGTGACGTGACAAACCAAACTTGTTCGTTTACCGTGAGATTATAATCCTTTCGTCAATATGATCCAATCAATAATGAGATATGGATACGTGTCAATCTCAATTATCAATCATATCTTTTATCCCAATATTAAGTCAATGTAAGTCGAAAACTCCTTTTCGACTTATGAGTTCACCTTGGCCAAAGATTTCATTATCAACTTAACTAGATAAAATATAGATCATAATCTCTTACTATCTAAGAGTAACGGACCCTCCATTGATCATTCACAACCTTCATATGATTCTTGACATACCCGAACGATGCTGTATTAGCGACCCTTAACAGAGCAACATCCAACACCACCAAAGTATGACTGTCCTCGTATAAGGTACTATGATGACCTCA